TGCCAGGCCCAGGCACCTATTGCTGCCGTGCTGCTCATGCACATGCCTGCTGAGGTACCTTGGGCCCTGGGTGGGCAGGTGCCTTGAATCCAGCAGCAAGGCCTCACATCTCTCTCTCCTACAGCAAGCCTTCTGGTGTCTGGTACAGATTTGTGAGAAGTACCTGCCTGGCTACTACAGTGAGAAACTGGTGAGTGCTTGCCTGGCCTGGGACCCACCCCAGGCTGGATGTCCTGTGGCCCCTCCAAGGCCTCAGCCACTCAAGGCTTAAATCCTAAGACCTATCAGAGGCCCTTCAGGCACCAGCATCATATCATCAGTTACACATTCACTTCCATCTCTGCTTCTGGCTACTTGTCAGGATCAAAATTCCTTCAGGGTACCCAGTTCCTCCCTCCTTGACCTTGCCATGGCTTGAGCCTCTGCCTGAAGTTCCATTCTGCTCCTTCCCAGTACACCTTTCTTCAGCTTTCAGCCAGTGCATGGAATTTTCCTTGACAGACAGGCAGGACCCTCCAACTTGTGCTTACTAATGTTTCTGTCATATCCGGTATACTCAGCCCCACTGACCCCTCCCCCAGTCTGTATGTTCATGGACTCTTTTCACTTTAAGCTCCCTAAGGGACTGCCTGTATCTGTTATCACTGTCTTCCAGTCCCCTATAGGCTATAGCTACCTGGTGAATTAATGAATGTTGACCTGGTGCTAGGAGCCCCTGTGGACTGTGGTCATGACTCTGTGGCTTCGGTGTCTCTCTAGGAGGCAATTCAGCTGGATGGCGAGATCCTTTTCTCACTGCTACAGAAGGTGTCCCCTGTGGCTCACAAGCACCTCAGCCGACAGAAGATTGACCCCCTGCTATACATGACAGAGTGGTTTATGTGTGCCTTTGCCCGCACCCTGCCCTGGAGTTCTGTGCTACGAGTCTGGGACATGTTCTTTTGTGAAGGTACCAGGCTGTTCTGGGTTGTAGGGAGGGAAACCCCAAAAGCACCCCTCCCCCACTCACCACCTGCCCACCATACAGGAGTCAAGATCATCTTCCGAGTGGGGCTGGTGCTGCTGAAGCATGCACTGGGCTCCCCTGAGAAGCTCAAAGCCTGCCAGGGCCAGTATGAGACCATTGAGCAGTTGCGGAGCCTCAGCCCAAAGATCATGCAGGAAGCCTTCCTGGTCCAGGAGGTACAGCACACACCTTCCACTTGCTATGGGAGGGAAAGGCACTTGGAAGGGGTGGGGTCTGGGACGCTCCTGACCATAAGGACGAGTCAGCCCAGGTAGGGAGGGGAGACCTTATCTTCCTTCTAGGTGAGAGGAGTGGGGCACAGAGAGGCCCAGCTTTGCAGCACCTTCCTTATCTAACTTACTTGGGAATGAAGAGGAACTAGGACTAGCAGCTCCCTCAGTTTTCTTTGTGGATACTTGTCTTGCAGGGTCTATAAATTAGGAGACAAATGCATAGCTAGCTTCTCTGGATGGGACCAGGGCCAGGCTGAGGCTAGTGTGTATCGTGGGGGACAGACTGAAAGCCATTTTGTGCCTACTTCCAGTGGCTGCTGAGGGTTATGCCGTTGTCCTCATTTTGCACACAAGGAAATAAAGGCTCACAGAGGCAGGATCTCAAAGTCCCCCTAGTCACCAGCTAAAAAGTGATAGAGCTGGAATTTGAGTCTAGACAGCCAGGCATCCCTGGACAGCGAGGGACAATACTGTCTGAGACTGGGTTTGCCCATCTCAGACTTGCTCCTTCTGTCCAAGATGTAAGGTAGCAGGCCTGTGAGTTGTAGGCAGCTTTCCTGTAGGCAGTGGGTCTTGTGACCATAACCCCATCCCTCCTGGGGTCAGCTTTTGGCAGCTACAGTTAGGGGTTGCTGATGGAGAGCAGTCTGGGCTCCAGGGCACAATGGGAAAGGTCTTTCTAGTACTCACCTGCCCCTCACTGCCCTACAGGTGGTAGAGTTGCCCGTGACAGAGCGCCAGATTGAGCGGGAGCACCTCATCCAGCTGCGGCGCTGGCAGGAAACCCGTGGTGAGCTGGAGTGCCGTTCCCCACCCAGGCTGCATGGTGCCAAGGCCATCCTGGATGCAGAGCCTGGTCCCCGGCCTGCTCTGCAGCCTTCACCATCCATCCGACTACCCCCAGATGCACCCCTCCCCAGCTCCAAAGCTAAGCCACCCAAGCAGGTCCAGAAGGAGCAACAGAAGCGGACAAAGGCCAGTGGGCAGTTGGAGAAGTCCCCAGGCCTCAATCAAACCATGGGGGTGACTGCTGCAGGAGATGCCTGTCTACCACAGGATGTGCCCCCAGAGGACCCAATCTCCTATCACCCAGTTCCCCAGGACTCTGCTCCCCAGGACTTAGCCCACCACTGCTCCCAGGAGAGCCTGACCTCCCAGGAGAGTGAGGACACCTACTTGTAACCCTGGCAGCTCAGACCTCCAGGGTGGGGTCTCCATACACTTACACGGTTCAAAGACTGACAACACTCCAGGTCCTGTGTACCTGAGGGCCCAACTGCTTGGCCATTGGGCTGGGATAGAGTCTGGCTGGCCCAACACAGATTCTGCCTGAGCCTCCTTATTTATTTTCTCTAGAGTCAAGCTGGTCCAGCTAACACAGGCAGAGGCTACAGCCAAGTGGGTGGGGCCTCACTCAGCCCCCTCCTCCTGGGGGATGTTCCCCAGAGATAGGGTGCTGGCCTGAGGGGAAGGGGTGGGGTGCTCCTTGTGTATAATAGAAACATGATTTTGTACAGAAATAAACAGACTTGTGTACAGCTAGGGACCAAGAAGGAATGTTCCCCTCCATCCTGGGCCCCTAGCCCAGCAGAAGCCTCTTTGAGAAGTACCTTTGGCAGAAGAGGTGCCAAATCAGTCAGCCCTTTCTTGGCTCTACTCTCTCAACCCTTCTCCACTGCCTTATGTCCATCTTCTGATATGGATGTGGCACCCCAGGGAATGAGCCCCAAGGCTTTGCTCTCTGCTTTTTACTGCGGGGGGGGGGGGGCCTTCCTGAAGAGGTAACTAAAAGCTGTTCCGAAGGCCACACCTAGATGCTAGGTCAGGGGCTTGGCCAGGTGTGAGGTGCTATAAATGCAGACCTCCACCATAGCCAGACAGATGAAAAGAAAAGCCTGCATCCTTGATAAAATGCTATACCTACCAGGCTGGGTTAGTTGTGCCTGATAGGAAATGAGCTGAATGGGAAAGTTTTATGCCATCCTTGTCCCCCTGCTACCACATTTGTACCCAGAGCCCCTCAGCATCTCTCCTGACCAAGGTTCCAAGAGCAGACTGCCACTGAGGGACCAGGCAAGTGGTTGGTGACAACCTGATAACTGGCAATGGTGAGAACAGGGTGTCCCTGGGAGAGCAACCCCACCCCCCCCACCTTCTGCTGAGGAAGCAGCTTTTCCAGTCAAACAATAGTGGTTGTTCCTGGCCTGAGACCAATCTGGGCCAGACCATAGCCAGAGGGAACAGGGAGGGAGAAACAGAGATCCCTGGGAGCTTTCAGGCATAGCCTGGGCCTGGAACGTGATGTCCTGGTAGAGCTGGGTGATACTGAGGCTAGAGAGGGGAATGGCCACCAGAGACGCAGGGAATACCACCCACTTCCTGCCTCCTGGTCTCACCCCTGCAGTTTGCCACCCCATCCATACCTGCCATGGATGAGCTGAGCTCAGCCTTTGGGAAGCATGCCTCCTCCCCCAGTTCTCCAGGGGACAGGCCAGGATGTGGTGGCTGCACAGTGTTCCATGAGAGTTCCCTGGCTGGAGAGTCCAGGAAGGAGGATGGGCCCAGCTTCCATCTGCAGGTGTTGCAGGATTCAGAGCAGGCAGAAGTCCTGCACAAACCTGCTGGGTCCCAGTCAGGCCCCAGGCCAATATAACCTAAATGGTTGAAAACCTCCAATCTGAGGCTGAGGATGGGGTCAAACAAGGGCCCCTTGGAGCATGCTGGGCTCTGCCATGGAGCCAACCTGAGCTTGCTGATTCCTGCTCAGCCTTGGGGTCTTCTTAAACCTGTAGAAACTTGATCATACCTGGGATGTCTGCCAGGGCTTGGGGCCTCTTCAGATCTGAAGCAAATTTAGATGTGCTCAGGCCAGTTGAATTATGCTAATGGCCAAAAGCTTTGAGGGGATTCTACAGGGCTCAAGTCTGGTCTGAGTGCCCAGCCATCCTCAGCTGTAATGGCTTCTTGCCCCAGAATCTGAGCTTTGGGCATTCCTGGTCCAAGTACTTCTGAGTTTGCTTTGCAGTGATGGACCTCAAGCTTTGGTCTGGGCTGCTTCCAGGCCCCACCCCACATTATGTTACTCAGACAGGTGACTAGGACTCTCCATTTTCTCCATGTCTGTCCCTAATGGGGAACCTTCTACCCTGGAAGTCGGGTGATAAACGGAGCCATCCAGGCCAGGTTTCAGCTGGCCAACCCAATCGCAAAGTAGGGGTGGGTATTCTCAATCCCAATCCTGGGCAGCCCTTGCTTTGGGACTTTAGCCAACCACCATCCTTGCCAGCTCTGTTCTCCCTGCCCCCATCAATATGAGGAAGCACAGAAAAGGCACTCTGTTGGTAGCAAATCACAGGCCACCTCAGTCTCTGACCTTCCACGTTCCAGGAATTTGGGGACATCGTCCAGCCCCAGTCTAACTGTATGTCTAAGGCTCTTCCGAGTCTTGATCACAACCGTAAAGGCCACGTGCGAACCTAGATAGAAACGACCCCTAGCTTCCCAAACGCTCCCAAACTACACAGCGGGCGTCCTGCCCGCGGAAAGGGCGGGGCCTGCAGGACTGGGAGAGGGTGGGGTCAGGCAGGGTTCTGCGGGCCAAGGCTACAGGGGTGGAGCTGTCCGGGGTAGGGTTCCGAGGGCTACAAGCTGAGAAGTGAAGTCCTGGCATCAGGAGGAGGCGTGGTCACCTCGCATAGGTCGTGTGTCCCGGGAGGCGTGGCCATCCAGGAGTGAGTGGGACGCTGGGCTAGGCGGGTCCCAGGCGTAGCGGGCGGCGTGGATGCTGGCGCACAGCGGCTCCTTTAAGTCCCGGGCGCCGCCCACGCCACCCCGCCTCCGGCCTGGGTTTAGCAGGCTGCGGGGCCGGGGCTGAGCGATCTGCGATGGAGCTGCACATCCTAGAGCACCGGGTGCGGGTGCTGAGCCTCGCCCGCCCCGGTCTCTGGCTCTACACCCACCCGCTCATCAAGCTGCTCTTCCTGCCCGGTCGCAGCCGGTGCGCGCCCGGGTTCGGGGGCGCAGGTCGGGTGGGGGCTCCGCAGTCGCTTCGGGTCAGGCTCAGAGGATAGGGTCGCTGCTTAGCAGTGGGTAGCGGGTGGGGAGGCTCTCCCCTCAGGCCACCATCCTGCCTGGGCCGACCCTTCCTGGGACGCCGCCTATCCGGCCTGGTGAGGCCCCCTTCCAGGGCTTGTCAAGGCGCACACAGCCTAGGGTGGGCAGTGCTCAATTACTAGGGTATGAAGTGAGGGCATGCCAACTCCTTCCAGATGCCTGACATGAGATCTGAGAGCTATCTAATGGGGCCCAAGGTTCGACACCTCCCGGGCTGTAGCTACAGTGTGGAATGGAGGGAGGTCTGGAGTTGGTTAGCAGCCGGAGATCTGGGAGTTGGGACTCCTACCCAAGTGCTCCTGGAAAGAAATGAGGCCTGAGGGCGGGTCAGGAAGGCGCCGGGCGGGGGTCCTGTAGGGCGGTTGGAGCAAAGTCCACCTGCCCTCTCCTGCCCTGGGTAGGTTCGCACCGGGATGAAGAGCCTCCCTACCCCCCACCAGGTGCAAGTTCTTCAGCCTGACGGAGACCCCGGAGGATTACACACTCATGGTGGACGAGGAGGGCTTTAAAGGTGGGAACTGGCCCATGCCCCCCTTTAAGCAGGATTCTCACCAGATACAGTGATCTAGCGTCTAGGTCTGGGTTCGAATTCCCCACCACTCACTTGAGCAAATAATTTACCCTAATCTGAGCTGTTTTCACTTATGTAAAATGGGTATAGTTATGGTGGCGGTTTAGCTTTATAATCTTAAAATCCATGAGGGACTGGGTGTGAATCTAGGCCATCAAGAGGGCCTCAGTTACAGTTTTAGGCCAGAGTGTGTGTGTGTGTGTGTGTGTGTGTGTGTGTGTGGTGGAGGAATGTTCCTACAACTGTTTTAACCCCCTGGATATTACTTCCTTTTGGATTTATCTCCCCAGTGTGGGCCAGCTGTCTGGCAACTCCAGGAGTCTGAGGGTTGGGGAAGGAATGCAGGAGCAGGCAACAAGCCCAGAGCAGGGTCCTGGGGCCTCCTGGCTGTGCTCTGGCGAACAACAACCACCCTGGCCCTTGTCCCTTGCTCAGGACTGGACACCAGCCTGGTCCTTCCCAGGGCCCTGGAGCTGACTTCTGGCTCCCACTTCTCCTTGCCTGGCCCATCCTCAAAGGCCTGGAGTCTCAAGCCAGCCAGCCGGAGCTTGGCCTAGCCTCCCTCCCACAGGACTTAGTTTCCCTGTTCTTCAGGGAAGTCTGCAAAGGGAGAGCTTCCCCAACCAACATGATGGGCTGGCTCCCTCTGGTGGTAACTTGTGCTATAAAGCCCATTAACTCGCAGAAAGGTCCTGAGGAATATTACCGGCCCATTTTACTGACATGAAACTGAGGCTGAGCCAGGTGTGGTAGTGCATGCCTTTAAGTGAGAGGCAGAGGCAGTTGGACCTCTGTGAGTTCAAGGCCAGCCTGATCTGCATAGTGAGTTCTAGGCCAGCTTGGGCTACATGGAGACCCTGTCTCAAAAAAAAAACAAAAACAAAAAAAAAAAAAACAAGAACTAAGACCGAACTGTGTCTGTAATCCCAGCACCCAGGAGGCTGAGGCAAGTGGATCAACTTGAGTTCAAGGCCAGATTGAGCTGCATTGTAAGACAATGCCTCAAAGGGGTCGGGGGAATAGCACTTGCCCCAAGTTACACAGCAAGTGCATGGGATTTGACCCAGGTCTGAATTTGGAACATTTATGTTTACTGAGAGGGTTTGATCCCCAGCCCAACAGCTCTCCAAGTCCCACTTTCTCCATCTGTGCCTTGGAGGGTTCTAGTAAGGCCGGGCAGAAATAGTGAGAGACAGCCCTAGTCTCCAGACCTGCCCTGCCTTACTAGAACCCTCCAAGGCATAGATGGAGAAACTGGGACTCAGAGGTAGACTCTAACCAAGTATGTACTTCCTGCTCACAGAGCTACCCCAGTCTGAGTTCCTGCAAGTGGCAGAGGCCACATGGCTGGTGATGAATGTATCATCTCACAGTGGTGCAGCAGTGCAGGCTGCTGGAGTCACCAAGATCGCACGATCTGTCATTGCACCATTGGCTGAACACCATGTGTCTGTGCTGATGTTGTCCACATACCAGACTGACTTCATCCTGGTGAGTTTTGGCAGGTGCTGGTGCAGGGTGGAATTAACAAAGGTGTCTGGGGGTTCCATAAGGTGTGTCCAACTGTTTTCACCCAGGTGCGGGAACAAGACCTGTCAGTGGTGATCCACACACTGGCTCAGGAGTTTGACATTTACCGTGAAGTAGGCGGGGAGCCTGTGCCTGTTGCCAGGGACAATTCCAGCAATGGCTTTCCCCGAGCCCAGCATGGTGAGGTCTGCCCCCAGACACCCAGACTTGGGTGGGGCCTCTTCCCATGGGGGAGGGGGAACAAGAGGGTGGGGACTGGCTTTGTAGGGGTGGGTCCTCAGGTGAGGGATCAACCAACACCACCTTACAACATGGAAGATGGGGTGGGTATACCCAGGTCCTTCCCTGCCCAGCCACCAGGGGTCACCCCAGCCCACAAATGCTTTTTCACCCTGTCCCTGTCCCTGCCCCACGCATTCTGAGCAGGGCCCAGCCCCACGGTGCATCCCATTCAGAGCCCACAAAACCGCTTCTGTGTCCTCACACTGGACCCTGAGACTCTGCCAGCCATCGCTACCACCCTGATCGATGTCCTCTTCTACTCACACAGGTGGGCCGTGCATGTACTTGACCCCTGGCCTCACCCTAGTATCCCCACACTCTGACTTACTACCTTTGTCCTATCTGACCCTTCTGTCACTATACCCTACTCAGTGTCTTAGGGTTCCTGGCAGTCCATATCATTCACCCAGGTTCTAGGAAGTTACCCCTTAGCCACTTGATAACCACACTGCCCAGTCAGGTCCTCTGCCTCAGGATTCTCTGTTTGGGCACAGGTAGGGTGGGTCCTTCAGGAGGTCAGGACTCCTCACAGTGGAACAGAGATGGGAGGGAAGGACCTACCTAGAGTGTCCATGCCAGCACTTTCCCTGGGGTCTGGTAGTCAGGAAATGGAGAGTGCTATATGCCTGGCAGAGCTTTTGACCCTGTCACCCCTCCCCAGTGTCCCCAAGGAGACATCTTCAGGTGGTCCTGAGCCAAGTTCCATCCCATTCTTCGCTTTCTCCCTCATTGAGGGTTACATCTCCATTGTCATGGATGCAGAGACACAGAAAAAGTATGTGACCCTTCCCCTGACTCCAAATATGCCACAGACCCTAAACCAGCCCCAGGGAAGGTGGAGGTGGGGAGCCAGGCTCTTTTTTCTTGAGGTTGACAGGAAGGACTTACCCCAGGGCTCGCAGTGGGTGGAGGTAAATGGGGCTCCCTTCCCACCACCCACATACCTCCCCAGGTTCCCCAGTGACCTCCTGCTGACCAGCTCCTCTGGGGAGCTGTGGAGGATGGTGCGCATCGGGGGACAGCCCCTGGGCTTTGGTGAGGGCCTCTTACTCCCTGTGTTGGGGGCAGGGAGGGCCTGTAGGGTACCCACAGCAGCTAAGGTGAGCCATGTGTCTTCAACCTCAGATGAATGTGGCATCGTGGCCCAGATTGCAGGTCCCTTGGCTGCTGCGGACATCTCTGCCTATTATATCAGCACCTTCAACTTTGACCATGCCCTGGTAAGTCATGGACTGGACTGGAGGCTCCTGGAAGGATGCTGAGGCCTGAGTAGTCCCAGCTGGGCATTCCTGGGCAGATTCAGCCAGTCCTCAGATTCAGACCTGACACTTTCTTCTGCTTGCTCACCCCCAGGTGCCTGAAGATGGGATTGGAAGTGTCATCCAGGTACTCCAGCGAAGGCAAGAAGGCCTGGCCGCAGCGGGCCCCTAGGGAACAGCAGGCTTCTGGCCCTCCCTTGCCTTGGGCTTTCAGAGACTTCTCTAAGCTATTTCCTAAAGCTCCAGAATGAGCCCCTGATCCTACCAAGGGACCCCTCATTCTGCTGTCTGTATGTAAGCTGTGTGGCGCTGGCACTTGTGGATATGTGTGTGCACCCCTAGGTGCAGTGGGCAGGTACTGGCCCCATCAAGTGTCTGCCCACGAAGGACACCCTGGTGCTCGGGGCTTGGGCCCCCAACCCATCACTTTCTCTGAGGCCTTGGCATTTGCACGGTCCCTGCCTGAGGCCTGAGCCACCCCTGCCTTGTCCAGCTCAGTCTGGCTGCCCTGGGCTGGAATCTGATCTCTGGCCTGGATTGCCTTCCTGGCCAGGTGAATTTCCATAGTGCCTTCCCCTCCTGGGGCTCCCAAGGAAAGTATTTTTACATCTCTCTTATTTTTATCAGCTGTGTAAATAAATCAAAGAATTGCTATTGACCAGGCTGTGTGGTGTCCTCTGGGCCAGAGTGTCAGCCATTGTCAGGTCTTGGTCTCTCCCTGAGTTGTTGACTTAGCCAGGTTTACCACATTTCCTTGTCTTCTCACAACAGCTTCCCAGGCTGTACGTGTGGGGTGTCTGTGTGTATGTGTGTCTGTGTGTATGTGTGACAGATGAGGAACCGAAGTTTCCAGCAATGGCATGACTTAGTCACGTGGTTCCCAGCCAAAACTGTCTGCATCTAAAGTCTGGGCTCTCTTCACTCCTTGTTGCTTGTAGAATAACTTAGTTCTGGATACCAGAAGAGATTCCAGGGCCCTGTTGCCTAGAAGACCCCTGGCTGGACTGCTGGGAAACCCAACAATGAGAGCCCTTGAACACCTTTCTCTCAGGCTACTGCCTGCTCTCTTTAGCACCTCACTTAAGTCCTGATGTCCTTCTTGTGTGAGAGGTCACACAGTTTATGTCAGAAGGGCTTCCTTAGCGTGGTGGCCCAGCCTCTTCCTGCTGAGGTGTGGGGCTAGTAGGGCAGAGCAGGGCCCTAGAGGCCAACTAGACCCTCTTCATCCTCTGGTGCTATATGGCTGGGCACATCTGGGCCTGGGTTTTCCTGTCATGAGGCCACCTCCTGCTAAGCAGGGCCAGGACTCCATTGCAGGCGTCTGGGCCCCACACATGCCCTAGGAGGTTATCAGGTGCCCTCAGCCCAGACCCGCCCTGGCTCAGAAGGAGAAGAAGGGTGTGACTTCTGGGTACCCAGGTTGCAGTGGCTCCCAGAAAGGCCAGCACAGGGGCCAGGCCTCTGGCAGTGTGCCCACCTGATTCTGGGGACCCCAAGGCTCAGGCCTCAGGCTGCAGATCAGATGAGTCTAGAGCACAGTCCAGTCTGGTGAGTGAGTGGTGGGAGACCTTGGCAGCCCTTTCCTTTAGCCTCAGTTTCTCCATGTATATGGAAACCCAGGAAGCAGCTCCTTCTAGAACTCTGGGAGAGAGCATTTCCTTGGAGCTTGTCTGCGGTTGGGAGTAGGATGGGGAAGTCCTGGTTCCTCTCCTGGGGACCGGTGTGGGTGCTGGCTTGGGAGGCGATCTGCATTGGAGGTGGTTTGGGGTCCTGGGCTGCCTGTCTGACATCTAAGAGCCCCACCCCCAGCCCTGTGCAGCTCAGGGGGTCTGACCTGCCTGTGCACTGGTTGAGTGCTTCTGTCACCCTGATTCTCAAAGGAACTCAGGCCTCACCCAGTTTCCAAAGCAGATCAGAGCCATGGCCCAGTGGGCTAGTCAGATGGACCCAGGTCTGTATGTCCACGTGCCCAGTCCTATCTCGGTCCACATCTGAGCATCTCTGTGGACAGCTTTAACTCTCAGGGCATTGGAGTCCTTGGGGTCCCAAGACTGGGTTCTAGCCTCCAGTAGATCACAGATTGAGAAGTTCACTGAGGGAGTTCTGAGGGGGCCTCAGACACATGGGATCATAGGCATGGGGCTTAGGAGTTGTTCCAGGGAGGGGTCTCCACCTGGGTGAGGTGCCCTAGGACTAGTCTCCACTCACTGGAGGCTGCTGCTGTACATTGGGCCTAGCAGCCTCCAGCCTAAGTAGGGATTCCAACCCACCCCCTCATCCTACATGGGCCTCCATGGGGTTCCAGGTCAGAGGAAGTCAGTGTGGTCAGCCTGGGCTGGGGTTGGCAAGCCTACCCTACTCCCTAAGTCAATAGAAGTGTGCCTGGGCCTCCATCAGGCAGTTGGGGTCCAGGTTCTGCAGACATGTGGACCTGACCAGGTGGGGATGGGACAGGAGGGGGCCTCAGCCAGGGTGCTTCAACCTTCTCTAATTTGCCTGCTAGTGCATTGGAAGCCACCTCTCAAGTCTTCCTCAAAGACTGTAGTATAAATTTGGGGTTTTAAGACCTCAACCCCATCTTGGTCCTGTGTGTGCCAAGTTGCCCCAGTTGGCTTCTTGCTCCTTTGTAGGAATGAGAAAAGGAAGTGTCTGCCACCTTTGGGTCCCAGGATCCTGTCCCTGGAAAGGCCCTGGCAGGAGGCAGGGAAGGGAAGGTGTGCCTGCCTGAAGCTGGCTGGGCACATGCACAGAGGAGGCTGCTTCTCTCATTCACTTGGGTGCCCTCTTCTGTACTGGGGGTGGGGGGCCAAGAGGCGTGTTCCCTGTTGATTCATCAGTACATTCAGTCTTCTGTTACCCCACTTTATGAAGATGGACATAAAGCACAGAGAGAAGTGACTTGGGGTCAAACTGCTGGAGATAGCAAAGCCAGAATTCTTAAAGGTTGCATGTGCCCACCAAGCCTCGAAGAGAGAGAGAGAGAGAGAGAGAGAGAGAGAGAGAGAGAGAGAGAGAAGAGAGAGAGAGAGAGAGAGAGAGAGAGAGAGAGAGAGAGTTTAGCTGAACCCTGAACCCTGAAGGATGGGGAAGATTTTTGCAAGATCCCTTGTAATCCCAGCTGTCTGCATTGGTGGCCTGGTGTCTGCTGCCAGTGGCAATGGGTACGTTGGCAGGCACGAGAGTCCTGATCCTGGCTCCTCCCTGACCCTGGGCTGCATAGGGTGTGGGTGTTGGGCAAGGGCCCTGATTTGTGTCACTTTCCCAAGCAGGTCATGGTGCTGGGGTTCTAAGCCATGGTTGCCTGTCACGGGGGCCCAGAATGTCCCAAGGCGTTAGTTGTGGCACCATGGGTGCTGTGTGTGTGGTGTTTTGTGTGTGTGTGTGTGTGTGTGTGTGTGTGTGTGTGTATGCACACATACACATGTATAGCCACCTATCCATGTGTAGAAGGGACCGTGTGTCCTGGTGCAGCCATTACTTGGTCCTCTGTGGTGGATGTCTGGGTGTCTGTGGCCACCTGTGGCTATGATGTATGAGTGTCCACTGTGGGCCTGGTCCATTTCTGCATGTATCCTCATGTGTGGCTGCTTATATGTACATCTGTGAGAGGGCATCATTTGTATTTCCATGATCATGCGTGTGCTCCCCTCACCCCCTGCTTCTTCTCTCCAGGGCTTCTGTGCTCCCCAGGACAAGGTGGACTGTTCTGCCCACACCTTCCCCTTAACTCTCCTCCCTGGCTTCAATTGGCTCCACTTCCCACTCCTCTCTGTCCCCTCTCCTGCTGTGACCAAAGCAAGCCTGCTCTGCCTTCTGCATCCTGCCTGAACCCCCCAAGACATCCCCCACTCTCCAGTCCCTACCCCTCCCTATCTGGCACCTCTGCCCCTTCCAGGCCCCCTGATTGACCTACAATGCTTTTGTATGTGTTCCTGTCCCTTTGGGCCTCAGTGCCTCAACTTCCCTTTCATCTGGCCTCACAAGTGAATTGTTCCCAGCACAACCTTGTGGAACACAGCCCCTGCTGTGCATGGTCTCCCTCAGAGCTGGTCAGCCTGCACCTCCATCCTCATGACACCTTGGAGGCCTGTTGGCTTTCCTGAGGTTGTTGCACATCTCCCTTTCACCTCCTCCTTCCCCGCCTCCCTCACCCACTCCTTCTTCCATCCTTCCTCCCTCTTTGTGTTGAGGGCAAACTCAAGGCTTCTCTCTTACAGAGTGACACCCCAGCATTAAATTTTGTCTTAATATATATAATATAATATATATATATATATTGCATGTGCATGGTGTATGCATGTATGTGCATGTGTGTGGAGGGTGCTCACAGAGATCCACCTGCCTCTGCCTCCTGAGTGCTGGGATTAAAGGTGCGTGCCACCACACCAGGCCTTATTTTTGTTTTTGTGACAGGGTCTCCCTAGTTCCAGGCTGCCTGGAACTCACTATGTAGACCAGGCTGGCCTCCATCTCACAGGGCTGGGATTGAAGGTGCATGCCGCACTTGGAGTGCCACCTCATTTTTTAAAAAATTATTTTTATTTTATGTGTATGGGTGTTTTTCCTGCATGTATGTAACTGTTCCATGTATGTACAATGCCTGTGGAGGCCAGAAGAGGGTTTCAGATCCCCTGGAACTGGAGTTATAGATGGTTGTGAGCTGCCATGTGGGCTCTGGGAACCAAACCTGGGTTTTCTGCAAGAGCAAACCTGTGCTCTTAACTGCTGAGCCATCTCTCCAGCCCCATTGCCACCTCAATTTTTGAGACAGGGTCTTTTTTGAACCTGGAATTAGCTGTTCCTGCTAGACTGGCTGGCCCGAGAGCCCCTGGGGTCTACTTATTCTGGGGTGACAGATACGTGCTACCACACCCTGCTTTTATGTGAGTGCTGGGGATCCAAACTCGGGTCCTCATGTTTATGCAGAAAACAGTTTAAACACTGCATCTCCTCGGCCCTCAAATTTTTTAAAGTGAAGTAAAATTCTCATAAAATTCATCTTATTTTCTTGAGACAGGATCTCACTATGTATTTGAGGCTGGCCTGGAACTCACTATCCTCCTGCCTCAGCCTCCTCAGTGTTGGGATATGGGTGTACTGACAGCCATTTTTTTTTCTCTTGTCTTTTTGAGACAGGGTCTCCCTGTAGTCCCAGCTGACCTGAACTCACTAAGTAGACCAGGCTGGCCTTGAACTCACAAAGATCTGCCTGCCTCTTCCAAGTGCTGGGACTAAAGGCGTGTGCCACCACACTGGCTTGACAGCCATTTTTAAGTGGGTAACTTGGTGGCATTTAGCCATCATCCACTCCATTTAGTTCAAAGCATTTTCACCATTGCATAAAGAGGCTCCATGCCCTCAGTAGACATTCCCCATTCCTTCCTCCCTGCATTCTCTCTCTGCATTTACCTCTCTGGAGTAGTTCACACGTACAGAATCACTCAGCCACACAGTGCGTGATTTCTCATGTTATCTTTGCTTTCACATAGCTTAATGTTCTTGAGGGTCATCCACACTGTAGTATGTGTCAGTACATCATCCCTCGTCATGGATAAATAGTACTCCATCGTGCACATACACTGCGTTTGTTTGTTCATTGTCTTTTTTTAAATTTATTTTTATTTTATGTGTATACATGTATTGCCTGCATGTAGGTAAG